ACAGTATAAGCTTTATAGAAATGTGTCATCCCTATAGCAATTTTTATGGAATTCAAAAAATGTAAATATAAGTGATCATGTTCTAATCTGCACTCAAAAGTGTAGCATGAAATTAGATATAAAAATAAAATAACAAATAAGAATAACAAAAGAGAATAGAAAGCGCACAACGATAAAAATTTAAAAATATGGTAACGCAACTAATTCAAGGTAAGATAATTTCATTAATTTTTCTGTGTTATAAATGATTCAAACTGGTCCAATAGTTTCTCTAAATCTGATATTTGGGTTACCTTATTTCTGATAATAACTAACGCTAGACTACTAACTTTTATTGAAACTTGATAAACACTTTTTCAATTTAGAATAAAGAAACGCCGCTCTGTCACTGCTAATGTGCAAAATAATATGCAAGCGATTCTTAATTTCAGAATCGAAAAGATAAACAAATATTAATATAATAGCACATCTTTTTCTCCCAGTTCCTTAATTCTGTTTAGAAATCTACTCACAATACTTAATCGTAGTCAAAACCAGAGGCAAAAACTTTCTAGACTCTTTTCAGTTCTGTGTTTTAATTTACTTTAAATTTCAAAAGTGCAAGTCATATTAACTAACCTATCAAAGGTAAAGTAGATCGCCATTATTGAATTAAGAAACATTACTTATGAACTATTTAAAACAATGAACAAACAAGCAATCAAGCAAATCAAAAAAACAAGCAATTGGTTGAAATATTACAATTTAAAGCAAAGACCGCATTTGCTAATTAAAAATCGTATTTGCATTTAAAATTTTTATTAATCAACACATAGGGTAAAAGAATCCTTGCCATGCGTCTTGTTGTCGCCACTTGGTCACTAAAAAACACGCAGAGCAAAAACTAATTCCTGGAAAGTTCCGAAATCGTATCGGAAAAAAAAAACTCTGTTCGCTTTTTAAGTGGCAAATGTGTAACAATCGAGACTATAAAAATAAAGACACAATGTGACAACGATTGCGGTGACGACTAGGCACTTAACTCTATGTGTTATATTTTATGTATTATTTGTAATAAATATACTAAACTATTAACATGTATTTTTTTATATTAAAAAATAAAAGGATAACTACATATTTTTTCTTTCCTGGAAGTAAAGTTAAAATGTCAAATACTTGTAACTAAAAAAAACATTTTTTATTTTCAATGGTCATCAGTAAAAAAGCTCAAAATGTTTTTTATTTTCAATGGTCATTAAAAAAGCTCAAAACATAAAAGAAATAAGTAAACAAAGTTTATTCCAAAAAATATATTATTCTCAGTAAGACATATATATACATCCTCAGTAAGAGTTTTTTAATATGTTTTTTTCGTATCTAATTTTGTTAATAATTTTATTAATTCCATATTTTTCTAATAACCGCTGACCATGGTCAGTACTTTCTAATTTTTGTCTGACTAAGCTTTCTATAATTGGTAAACATCGACTAATTTCTTTCTTGAAAATAACCATTAAGGTACGTTTATCGCCATGATCCATTTCACGAATTTCACAAATTTCATCATCGATCCTGGAGGCATCTGCATTTATTGATTTTGTTAGCGATAACAGTTTGTCATAGATGGATTTTGGATTCCTAAATTGTAGAATCGGATTGTCTTTAATTTTTTCACGAATATACGGAATATAGCAACCTTGAAAATCATGATCCTTAAAAAGATGCAAAATTTCTGCAATTTCATTTGGGGTCCATCCTCGTTTTATTGTACTTGTACTAGCTGTTGGCTCGTTAACAATATTATTAAAATCTTGATAAGAAAGGTTTTCAGCACATTTATTCATTTGGTTTTTACATTCGTTTGGAATCAAAATTTTTTTTTCAATTTTATTTGTTAATTCAGCTGCATTTTTCATTGTCTTTATGAGATTGTAATTTCTAGCGGCTGTTTCTTTTTTATGTTTCATGTGATTTGCCAGGCTTTCTTTAAGGCCATCATTTTTATCCTCAGAAGAATAAAAAGTGGTAGTAATGCTTTTTCTAAAAAGAGTTGCAGAAACTGGACAAACCCTGTTTGATTTGGTAGCTTTCTTCCAAAAGGAATCAAGTTGTCTAGAAAATCCATTAAGAGATTTGAACGACCATGTCACAAACAAGCTCTTATCTGGATCTGATGGGTTTTCATCATTAATTTCTGCAACTTTGGATCTGAAGAAATCAACATAACATTTCATTTGACTATTGATTTCAGGCGTTAGTACAACTTGGGCTGATCCGTACTTTCGTTTAGTTTTATGATGTTTGACATTTATTATAATATTATTAGTGCTGTTATCAACTTTTCCGTTTTCAAATTCTCCGAGAAGCATATTAATGCAATTTCCAGCACGAGCCGAATTTCTTAAGCAGCAAATACTGGCTAAATAATCTCTTACTAAAACGAAATTATCTCTACTAAAATCATTACTATCGCATATTATTGGCATATTAAGCAGCTTTCTTGCTTGAAGAGATACCTCTGAGTTATATACCTTTTGAAATTCCTCTGGATTGATCATATTAACAAGATCTTTTTCTAAGACTTCCCATTCACGTTGATCAACCTCATCACAATAACTTGACCTCCAATTTTTGACATCTTTTAATAACCCTTTCATTGTATCTAAATTAACTGTGCACGGTACAGATATTTTTTTTGCCCAAGAAACCGTTTTTTGTCTGATCAAAAACTCTACAAATTTGCTGAGCGAACCAAGATATGACCTTAATGTTCCTGGTAAATGTCCTTTACCGCTTTTACCTTTACCTGGAGCTAATGCCCATGGCAGCCAAGAGTTTCGCAGAGTGTGAATATCAAATAAAGAATCAAAGGACGAAAGTGAAGGATTAACACAATTAAGAATTGATTTCACTTGATTTTTACATTGACGAGCTGGTTTTTTTTTCTTTTTCCCACCTTCAAAACCCAATAAATGATTTTCAAAAGCATTTAAAACATTATCAACTGATCCTTCATCTCCATCATCGAATAAAAAATCATCTATAGACTCATCTGTTTTGTCTCCTTCAACATTGTATTCTGAATCGCTATCTGTTGATAGCGATTCGGAATACAAAGAATCTGTTTTATAGATAAACTTTTTGTATTCACTACAATTACTTTCTGAAGAATCACTTTCTAAATGGGTAGAACTATCTTCTGATTCTCTGTTATTAGACTTAAAAATAGATACAATTTTTTCTTCTTCATAGCCAATCATAACTGTTGCTTTATTTCGCATTTTACCATAAAGCTCTGTATTATTAAATAATTCCGAATGAGACTTTTTAAAGTGATCTGACAAGTTTAAGATAACTGAAAAGCATCCATCAACAGGACAAATTCTCATTTTTTTACGATAATGTATATCAGCATTGTTACTTTTGGAGTTTCGAAGTCCGAAAATAGATACTACTTTAGAAGCAGATTTTTTCAACAAAAGATGATCACTTTTTTTAGATAATTTTATATGTCTTGGCAAGTTAACAACCTTTGCCCCACACCCTGGAATAGGACACAATTTCTTATTTCTTTTTGGTTTTTCTGCACTTTTGTGTTTTGTTCTTTTATTGACTAACTGCGAGGAAAGCTTCTGAGTATCTTCTGAATGATGTTTTGTGTAGTTATTTTTAATGTTATTATTATTAACTATGGTATGAATTTGAGAACCTATAAAAAAAAAATAAAATAGATTTGAAAAAAAAATTAGCAGAAGAATTTAAATAAATAAAGATATTTAATAAAATATAACCTAATTTTGACGAAATTCTTTTAACTTCAGTTACATCTGCAACATCACATTTATGGTGAAATATATTCTGAAACAATATATTTTGATAATCATTAAAAACTTTTCTTTAAAAGAAATAATAATTGATATTACTCTCACATGCTTAATTCAATGGGGGTTAGGAATAAAAGGTAAAGGAGGAGGGGTAGTGGAAGAGGGAAATGGGAGAGGGAATCTTAATGAGAGAGTGGGTGAGAGTTTTTCTTTACAAAACATGCATAAAACAAGTTAATTTTTTGTGTTAATTGAGTGGCTTTCAATCAAATATTTTGTTGATACCAAGTAAGCGTTGATAAATGGAGAGGTCTTTATAAACTTGGGTTGGGTAGAAAAAAAATTCCAAGAATTAAAAAATGTCCCCTTCTGTGTATTAAGCATACTAGAGTACAGAGTTACTAAAAAAAAATTTAAAAATGATTGAATAAAATATAATGATCACAGTTAAATATTTATTTAGATTAAATGTATAAAAGGATTTTATTGCCAGAGACTATACTAATTACAACTGAACTGTAGAGGATTTTGTAGAGGATTTTATTTTAAAAAATATATACCTTTTTAGCACAAAGCAAATCCATTCTACAATTAACTTTATTTTCTTGAACGGTTAAGGTAAAACTAGCTTCATTTGCATAACTTTTCTAATTAAAAATAATAGAAAAAAAAAAAAAAAATAGTAGAGAAATATAAAATGAAATACGAAAGAAAAACACTGAGCTACTTAATAAATTAAAATATTTAAAATTTTTTAAAAAAACTTACAGTTTTAGGATAGTCTTGTTTGATAAAATCAATACTATCATCAACATAAGCACAAACCTAAAAGTTTTAACAATAGTTTGTAAAGAAAAACAGTAAAGGATGTGTAAAAAGTATAAAAATAAATATTACCTAAAAAGGATATAAAAATAGCTACAGTTATTTAATCTTTATTGGTGCTGAAAATGATGAATTTTAACTGATAACATTATTTTATAGATTTATAAGGTTTGAAGATCAATTCATTTTTAATTTATTGTATGAACTTTTAAAAAAAAAAATTAGGCAACTTTGATAATAATATTTTTAACCATCAATGTATTAACTAATAGAGATATTAAAAATATTTGTAATTATTTAAATATTTTATCAACCAAATTAAACAGTACTTTACAATAAAACTTACCTTTTAAACTAAATCATTTAACAAACATTGGACCACACCTTCCTAAATAATAAGGTATAAATAGGAAAACTGAAAAAGCATAAAATATTAAAATATTTAAAAAAGAAAATCATTTTCATAATCAATTAAATATAAATATTTAACTTACGTTAGATTCAAAGTCTTCGTTAAATAAAGTCATGTTTATTTTTAATTCACTTTGTTCTGGTAACTCTTTCTTAAATTATAATAAACAAATACTTTGCAAACACCAACACAAGAATTTTGTATCAACACGCACACGCACATATATATATATATATATATATATATATATATATATATATATATATATATATATCAGATAAATATTTTTATTATATAGAATATACATTACCTTTTCATTAACTAGAGTAGTATTAGTTTCTAAAGTTAAAATTTCAAATACATATGTATATTATTTTATATATATATATATATATATATATATATATATATATATATATATATATATATATATATATATATATATATATATATATATATATATATATATATATATATATATATATATATATATATATATATATATATATATATATATATATATAGAGAGAGAGAGAGAGAGAGAGAGAGAGAGAGAATTATCTTAAATTTTAAAGAATACCTTTTATACAAGAATCATACTGAGCCCACTTCATTAAACGGCTATTCTCTAAGAGCCAAAAATAATTTAGTCTTGTAATTTATTTGTGTTAAAAAAAAAAAAAAAAACCTACTTTGCTGTTCTTTCTTTTGCAATAAATGTATAAAAAAATTCTCAGCGCTAACCACTAGATAAAGAAAACAAATCTTGCTTCAGGAAAAATATTTCAGTTAAAAAAGAATCCAAATAGAATGAAATAAAATAAATAATTGTTAATGAAAAATTACATACCAGACCCATCATTTATACTACTTTCTGATTCTTGGTCTCTTTCATTAATTCTAAATATGATTTAAATAAAATTTAAAACTTTTAAACTTTAAAAGTTGTTAATTCTCAAAACTTCGCAAAAGTCTATTAAAAAAAAAAGAAAAGTTCATAATAACTAATACATAATAAAAAAAAAAAATTATTATATATATATATATATATATATATATATATATATATATATATATATATATATATATATATATATATATATATATATATATATATATATATTACCCTTTTGAAATGTAGGAATTTAATATGACTTCAGCCTAAAATAAGAAAAAAATTAAAAAAAAAACAACACAACATAGCACAACACAAAAACCTCTTAAAAAAAAAAAAAATAAATAAATTACTTTGATTCTTGAAATCTGTTCAGTTTTAGCAAACAGATATATTATTGCCTCAGGTACAAGCACTTTTAATACATAATCATTGAGCTGAAAAAAAAGTAATAAAATTATTAGTTTAACTTAATATATATATATATATATATATATATATATATATATATATATATATATATATATATATATATATATATATATATATATAAATATATATATATATATATATATATATATATATATATATATATATTATATATATATATATATATATATATATATATATATATATATATACATCTTTACATTATCATGTATAATATTGTAAACTTAAACAATATATATGATATCAAGTGCTCAAGAGATAAACTAGAGCTATATAGTATATATTTTTAGTGTGCAAGGGAAATGCACTGGTATAAATAACTCCATACTGCCAAAAGTCCATTTTTGTACCAAAACCACTATTTTGTACCACTTATTTGTATTTTAAATTCTCTATCATTTGATATAACACACAAATATAATAAATCAATTATTAATGAGATAAGATTTTTTATATCAACTATTACACAAAAACTTATTTTTTAACTATTACGCAAAAACTTATTTGTTCATTGTCTCAAAATAATGTTTTTGGACTTGTATAACAATGATATATTACTGTTTTTACTTATATTACTGTTTTTAGCTAAAGTGCCAATGTTTATAATGCCAATGCTAAAGTGCCAATGTTTATAATATAATATGATATTGCAACTTTAAGTTTCATGTGTTACTACAATCTTCAGGCAAGTAGTAAAAATTTAATTTGCTACTATATATATATATATATATATATATATTATATATATATATATATATATATATATATATATATATATATATATATATATATATATATATATATATATATATATATATATATATATATATATATATATATATATATATATATATATATATATATATATATATATATATATATATATATATATATATATATATATATATAATATAAACACTACATTTAATATTATATACAATTTCTGTTTTAAAATGTTAAACCAAAATTACACCTTTAATTCATTATACGAGGTAGCAAATGCACTATATAGAGCATGCTGTTGCTCATCAGACAACAAGTCAACCAAATCGATGTCACATAAATATCCTGAAACAATACATACTTACTATAGTTTATAATTTTTAAAGCTAATAAAAAATTAAAGGTTGAAGTATTTATATTAACTTAGTAAAGTAAGTAATTATATAAACTTAAAGAAACTATTAGTAATAGTAAGAGCCCTCTTACCTTTACCCATTAAATATTTTATTCAGTATAAGTATATAAATTTAAACAGTAAACTGTAATATAGTAAAAATTAAAAAGTCTACTTTTTTCGTCTCCACCAGCTTTGTATAGATTGTGTCTATAACTGTAAAGCTAGATAAAACATACAATTGTTAACAAAAAGATTTAAAATAGTGTTTACTTTAAATATTAAAAAATTCCATTTATACTTGTTTTGTTATTTTTATTTTTATGTTATGGTTATGCTATTAAAAATGTAATAACAAAGATAACCTTTATAACTATGCCTTATTTCAAAAACTTTATACTTGAAAATATACTAAAAACTAACTTGACCCTTGAAAACTGATTTTAGCAATGTTGATGAAGCTATTTCTCTCAGCTTTTCTGTTGAAAACTTTTGAAATGCTAAATTATTAACTTTAAGATTATTAAATAAGTCTGCCTTTCTTATCAGTATAAAAAACAAAAACTTCGCTGTAAAAATTACTTTTATTAAATCTGCTCTTCGAATGACAACTATAAATAGAACAAAATTATAAATTTGAATAACTGTATAAATCATTACCTCTGCCAACAAATTCGTCAATATTAAGTATATTGTTTGAACAGCCTTAAATACAAATTTCACATTGAGTAAGTTTTTTTTTGTAATAATTTATCAACATATTTTAACGTTTTTTTTATATATATATATATATATATATATATATATATATATATATATATATATATATATATATATATATATATACATTAATACATATAAATAGATATTAATTTATATGAAGTTGTAACTTGAAAAATATCTGTGTGCGAGAGTTTGTATGATAAATGTCTATTAAATATTTTTTTAATATTTTTCTTTTTAAAGATAAAATTATACTTACTTGCACACTCTTTGCAAATAGATTGCCCATTTCCAAGTTTTAATCCATAACTTTGCACATCTTTTTTGTTACACAAAACACAATCTATTACAGATGACATTTTTATTTCTAAATATTTAGTAGACATTAGCAAAAAACCTGTGGTAATAGACATAGATAATTCAACCTAAAATTTCATCTTTCAAAAATTATTTGAAATCCAAAATACTAACTAAAATTCGGTTAATGAATAACACTTTCATATTAAAAAAAAACCAAAAGAAATTCTAAAATCTTAAATCGATTTTGTATTAAAACTTTCAAATTTTAGAAAAATGCCAGAAAGACTACTAAAGGAAAATAAGTCTTGATTGTTTAAGCAAAAGTTCAACTGAGTTGTATCTTTGCTTAAGTTTTTATGAGTTGTCAACTCATTAAATGTTTTGTACAAGTACATAAATGGAAGAGTATTAAAGAGATTGTAAGTATATTGTGATTCCTGATATATCAAATGATACTGATGGATCAGCAATCATGATTTAGACTTTCTTAATGCTTTATACTGCTGTACAAATTGTACAACAGTATATATTGTACTACAATATATATCAAATTGTTGATAATTTATTTATGAAGACATACCTTTTTTAATATACATTTAAAAAATATTAAAGTAATAGTAGTAATTATTATCATATTAGTGTTCATGTAAGTTTGTAGATTTATTTAAATGCACACCACTTACAAAAAAACGGCTAAATTGAATTATATTTTTTTAGCCTGATTTTTAACGGTAACAGCGTAACTATTTATAGAATTGCGACATGTTGCTTTTCTATTCTCGTGTAACATTTCTACCGGGTCGAGTAGCTTTTCTACCCAAAAAATGTAGCGAATCTATGAGGTGTAGCAAATCTACCCAAAAATGTAGCAAATCTAAAAAAAAATGTAGCAAATCTCAAAGTACGTCTGATCATCATCATCATCATCATCATCATCATCATCATCATCATCATCATCATCATCATCATCAACAGCATAAAAGAGGAAGGCTAAAGCCTGATGATCATTATCATGATCATGATTATCAGCATCATAATCATGTTGATAATGATCATTATCATTTTCATCATCATCATCAGGCTTTAGCCTTCCTCCTTTACGCTGTTTCTCTAATATAAACAATCATTTTTTTTCTTAACTATTTTCTTAACTATTTTTCTTAACTCTTAAGCTTATTCATGCAATATGGCGGGGTAAAGCATAAATGGCGATGACGTTTGTCTGACGGGATAAACTAGTTATAAATGCTGATCCTCATCGAAACGCCAGTAATAATAGACGCGACTCTGAGGAGATGTTTATTACTTAATCACTACACTAATTATGTTTACACATTAGCATTAATGTTTTTTTTTTCCATTATTAGTCCTTTCATTGTTGTTAGCATATTTTTAATTTGTTGAATGGTTTTTTGTTTTACAAAATTTTGACTGGTTATGTATTTCTTGTATATTTTAGTTCATATTGGTATTTATAAAAGATTTTTATGTATATATATATATATATATATATATATATATATATATATATATATATATATATATATATATATATATATATATATATACATATATATATATATATATATATATATATATATATATATATATATATATATATATATATATATATATATATATATATATATATATATATATATATATATATATGCATTTTTTTTATTATTATTATTATTATTTATTTTTAATTTTTTTAAATTTTTTTTATTGTTTTTATTGTTGAGTACTGTTTTAATTGTATAGCCTGTCTTATTTATTTTTAAATATTCCTCTATTAATCTTTATTTTTGTCTTAACAACTGTCAAAATATGCTTTGTCTAATAAATAGTTCTCCTTTATTCTAATGTACTTCATTTCTTTCCTCAGGCGTTTACTGCTCGTGTGTGACCATTCGGCGAATTTTATATGCCAAAGTTTTTAAATAAAAATTATAACATTAAAGTTTCGACCGGAGCTGGCAGAAAACATGATTTTATCATCCAGCCCCGTTAATATAACTAAAAAATTCAGCCGATAAAAATGAAAAAGGAAAAAGAAACTAAAGCAAGAACTGATTTTAAGAAGAAAAGAACTTAAAAATCAAATTATTATTTACAGAAAAAGAAAAAATATTAATTATTTCTTCTCATTATTATTATTTTTTTTAATTCTCTATTTTATTAAATTTTTCATTTTTATTATACACGCACGCACACACTCATACGCACACGTACACACAAATATATGTCCGTTCATATATACATACAAATCAAATAAATCTGTATTACATTCCATCTACAAATTGCGTAAGATATAATAAATATTGCATTTACAAATTACGTTATTATTGTAAAATAAAATAATATCATACATGTTCTAAGTACCATACAATATAATTGTGATGTTGAGTCAATTTATAAGACATTAAATAACTAAGATTACCAAAAGTTGTTAATAATACGATAGTAATTACTTTGTGTCAAAACCAAATAAGTGTTGTTTTGTTGCACGTTTAAAATGTTGAGTTGAATTTAAAGTTTTTATATTACTTGTTAAAAGCAAGTTCCATAACCGCGGCCCTCGGCAAGATATCGAAAAATCAGCTTGTTTTGATAATGTTTTTGGTATAATAAAATTATTTGTTGAGTATTTAGTTTCGTATTTGTGGTTTAAAGAAAAAAAATAAGTTTGGAAAATGCTTGGTAGCATACCATTTTTAAACTTAAACATAAAAATAAGTATATTAAGAATATTTATTTCATAGACATTAGGCACTCCAATTTCTCTTAGTAGTGGTCTGGCACTAGCGTATTTATTTGCATTTAATATCAAGCGAATTGCTCGTTTTTGTATTTTGTAGATCATATTTAACTTTGAAGGATAAGTACTTGCCCAGATAATGTTGCAGTAGCTGATGTAGCTATGAATAAATGCAAAATAAATATTTTTTAAACAATTTGTGTTTAGGAGATGTTTTGTTTTATACATAATACCAATAATTTTTGATACCTTATTTTCTATTACTTTGATATGATTACTCCAGCTAAGATGTTCTTTAAGAATTACGCCTAAAAATTTGATTGAGTATTCTCGTTTAAGTTTAGTTTTATCAATTAGTAAATCAGGTAGTTTTAAGGGGAGGGTTTCAGATTTTGATAATTTTGTAAAAAAAAAATATTTACTTTTTTCGACATTTAAGGAGAGTTTGTTAGCCTTAAACCATTCGTTCAGGTTTTCAAGTTCTTGATTAACAGTGTTAAATAATAGGCTAATGTTTGTGTGGCTAAAGAACACTTGCGTATCATCGGCAAAAAGGACAAAGTTAAGTATGTTAGAAGATAAGTAGATATCGTTAATATAAACGAGGAATAATAATTGACCAAGAATTGATCCTTGTGGAACCCCACAAGTAATGTCTTCAAGTCGTGTTACAGTGTTGTTATATGATAAAGCTTGTTTCCGATTATTAAGGTAAGAGCGAAACCATTTTAAATTGTTATTTCTTATTCCATAATTATATAGTTTATAAAGAATTTTGTGGTCAACAGTGTCAAACGCTTTTGAGAGATCGAGGACTACCCCAAGAGTGTATTTATTGTTGTCAAACCCATTTAAAATTTCATTAACAAGTTTGCCCCGCAAGGACAAGACGTATTCAATACGTATTATTTTAATATTATTCACATCTTTTCTAGAGTAGACGATAAAAATACGCATAAAAAACGAATTTTCAAGATGAGTTTTAGCTGAATATAAAACTTATCTTTAAGAGACGTATTAAATACGTATTATTTCTATATATGAAAGATATCTTTCGCAAACAAATATAATACGTGTTTAAAACGTCTTTAAAAGACTAAAGTCATCATTAAAAAATGTTTTAAATACTTTTTTTTGAAGTTTTTATTTGAGACCACAAAGGCATGCGAAAAAAATGTGTATTCTGAACGTCTTTTGAAGACGACCTTTAGTCGAATATATTTGAATAAAGATAAATACTAATTGTAAAAAAGAAATGTTGTTATTCAGCTATTGCTTCTTATTTATTGACTCGATTTATAGACAGCTTTTTGTACATCTTTACGTTCTTGGTTGTTACTCTATTCTCCAGTTAACTTTTTTAATATCATTTTAAAATAAAATTACTATTGTAATTTTGATTTAGTTAACCATATTATGGTCCATAATTATGGACCATAATATGGTTAACTAAATCACTCAAGTGATTTAGTTAATCATATTATTATAAAATTTATTATCTTAATAATTTAGGACACTTTTGAATGTTCTCTCTTTTTTATTTTTTATGTTCTCTAAACACAACATTATTAACCAATCACCTTACACTTTCATCCTCCAATCAATTAAGATATTTTTTGACCAATAGCGTTATTATTTACTGAGGCTTCGCTTGAGGGATATTTTGATTAACCGCAAATTTACGTCATACAACATCTGTGTATAATATCACAATTTACATGCGCTCTATAAACTGCTCATTGGCATTGCGCAAAATATCCTTCAAGACTTATTCTTATTCAATATCAAATTATGGTAAGTCTTTTATCTTAATTGTTTTTTATTTTGTTGTGTGTTTGTTTGCCTTCAATTTGTACTTGAGTATTTAGGAATAATTTAACTTATAAGTTTTTTGTATTCTAATGTTACTTCTTGCGCAACGTGTTTTAATAATTTTCTAAAAAGTATATCAGCGTAATTTGTTTAAAATGGATCAAGTTAGGGTATTTGGCTGAGCAGTAGTATGTCCTCTCAAATGTTGCAACATAAGAAGGCTTTGACGCAGACGTAGAGGTGGGTTTTATTTGCTTGTTTTGAGGATGTTACCCCGACGGGAGTTTCTAGAAATGAGCATTAAAACATTCGAAACGTCAAATACCAGAGTATTATCTTTATAAGGATCAATACAATGTCCACTTCCTGACGAGAATCTGGTATTATACTACATAATTTTGAATTTTATTTTAACGCTGATGTATTTTTATTTTCTTTCTTTAAACAATCATGCGCGCGTTTCCACTTTATATTAAATGTTTGTTTTTGTTGTTTGTTGTAATACTTCTGCTTTAAAGTTGTACTTTTTATCTTAAGAATTGAGTAATTGTGTTA